GCTTGATAGTTATCGTCGATAATAGATTCGTCAGCATTTGCCTTGCAACCTTGATTGAAAATATTGGTATGTATCGCACCCCTCAATCTACAATAAGAAATTCTATATCTCTAATGATGCCAACAAACTTAATATAAATTGTTAGATACATTGAAATTCGAGCCCTAAGGATCCTCTTAATTTTCTTTTGGTCTTTATACTAATAGTGTTTTGCACCCTAAAGATTTTACTACCCCACTAACGTGATCCGTATATAAAGAAAATTTGAAGGTATCATATTCTCTACTATAATTAGTGTTATAATTATCATAAAAGTTAATGTCTAATTTTTTTTTAATATTTTAAATTTTATCACCAATATTAATATATACTCTTAAACTTTCATAAGTCATCTAATCTAATATAAGGATAAAAAATACATCCAACTAAACAAACTGATATTAATATATACTCTTAAACTTTCATAGTCATCGTATTTACATCATTATCATTTTGATATTCTTCCGATGCACAGACGATATTAATATAAATAACTAAAAAAATATATAGTAGGATCATAAACAATAAACAAAAAATATGTATAATATTATTATTAAAAAAAATTAAATTCTTTCACATATATTTCGATGCAGTGGATACAAACTAACTTGCCTAACATTATTTACAATGAAAGTGTATAATAATTCTTTATATTCAAAAGATTCTTTAAGCAATTCATATGCATAATCCAACGGATAGGAATATCTCTAGAAATTTTTTTTAGTATTTTGGCATTTAATTTATAAAATCTGGTCCATTCTTTGGTTACTTTTGAATATGAATAATCTCATAAGAATGAAATAGCTTGGTTAATAGGAGAAAGAAAAATTTTGAAAGATCTAAGTCTTATAAATTCAAAACATGATGAGCATGAAAATGATACTACCAAAAGTATATTGACAAACTTCTTATAGTTTCGGAATAGAAGCAGTATTTATCATTGTAGTATCAAAACCTAAAGAAAAAAAACAATTATTTTAAAAAAAAAGTTATTGTTGTTATTCAATAAGTATTATCTCATTAATCAAAAACTCTAAAAGTAATAATTTATTTTTGCATGGTTCAATTATTATTTATCCAATGATAAGTGACTCTGTAAGAAGAGTGTATTTGCTAGTTATTACTCCAAATGTCAGCACAAATAAAAATATGATCATAAAAGGTTTGAAAAATATTTTGTAAACTTTTTTTTTTTATAAAGAGTATGTAAAATACAAATAAGAGTGATAGAAAAAACCATTGTGCAACTAGATTTAAAGCCTCTTGACAATAATCAATAAATCTAACTTTTTTGTTGTCATAAAGGATAAGTAATAGATACGAAATTCGAGCCTAATACATTATCATATACTTGTCAAAGTCTTTATTAGCTAATATAATTAATATATGTTCAATATAATCCAACTTCTTCATCGAAACTAAATCATAAATATTTAATAAAAATTAATCTAGTTAATGCTTCATAATTTTTTTAACAAAAAAATAAAAAATGAGAGAAGTAGGGTATCCAAAAATTTATGTTTGACTCTTCTCCATACTAGTTTGTGTTGGATATTTCTTCTTAATATGCTTTAAAAATATTTCATATCCTCATTTCTCTTTGAATTTAAAATTTTGGCCACAGCAATTATATATGACGTAGAAAGATCCATCGACATTATGAACCTTGTTAAAGTACAGCTTGAAGGAATTGAGTTTGGTCATCATATTGAGTTCCTCCAAATCGACATCAACGTTGATTTGTTAGCTTTTTTGAGTTACTACATATTTTTGAAAGCTTCTTGGGTGCTGTAGTGGCTTTCACTTTTTAGTGGATCACGAAGAGAGATTAATAGTATTCAAACTTCAATGAGTGTTTAATCAATAGCGTGGGAAAGAACAAGATATTTGAGAGATATTTATAGGGCTTTTAGAACTTTTTATTCCTAAAATACCCCAAAACCAACTATAATTTGGTTGTTAAAGAGCAAACCTCTCTTCTCTTAATTTTTATATTTTTAAATTATAAAATGATCAAAATACTCCTAAATAAAGTTATTTATATGATTGTTGGACGAGATAAACTAGTCATTTGCTCCTTTCTCAATAGTTGTGTCATGGATTTAGTTGATTTTGTTAAACCTTTGTGTTCATCCGCATAAGATCAACCTCTTTAAAATCTCTAATGGTCTCTTGAGGACGTGAAGATAAGCTAAAGGAAATATTTAACTCGAGATCTTATAAATAATCATTTTAGTAAATACTTGATAGGTAATTCTTAACCTTTGTATCCATCCACACAAGGTCAACCTCCTCAAAACCTCTTTATGGTCCCTTAAGGACTTACCAAAGTGAAGACCAAGTCAAAAAAATATTTAACTCGAGATTTTATAAAATAGTCATTTTAACAAATACTTGATAAGTAATATAAATTATAAACATAGACTTCGCAAGCTATGAACGATCACATCTAAGGTGATATGTTATAGTCAAGTCTCCCAAGTGTCAATGTGACACTACTATAGAACAAGAAAGTAAACTATATTATACACTATCCTAAAGGCCCACCCAACCCTGCGTTGTTACTCATGTAGCTCTTTAGTGCTGCGTTAGTTGATGCTTTGCACCACCTTACAAAATTAAAAAATCTCTAAAATTACTATTTGGATAATATGTATTTGGATAGTATTACCTCTGCACGATAACTATACACAACTTATATTCATAACCCTAAAATGATCACAAAAGTCAATCAAAATGGAGCCGCGAAACTTATTATAAGTCCTCTAATTGTTGTGCAAAGCATAAATAAAACTAGAAGATACTAACGTACACAAGTATTACATCGAGCATCTTATTTATAATTTTATTCGTAACAATTAAGCCCGAGCAATCGAGGCTAACATTCGATCAACAACCTATTTGATTATATTTTTTTTATGACAAATGTTAAATCAATGGTTCGAATCGTTAGTTTCAAAATCGACCATTTTAGTTTTCCCTCATAAGTTTTGATTCAATTTAAAACTGACAAATCATTTGATCAATTAGATTATAAGTCGAATAATCATGACCATGACTAAATCGAGAAATGGTGTCAATTAATGTCTAATAAAATGGGAAAAAAAACAAACCAAGTTAGGAACTTCATTATGATTTCACATGGCGACGATTTTGATGGAGCAAAGATCTCATCCAAACAACTCGCAAGAAGATTGGTAGTTAGACCTAAAAGGAATATATTATAGGTGGAATCATACATGTGGACTATCTATCACGTTAGAACTTGCATCATTACTGGTATATGCTCACTTGAGAGAATAGATAGTGTGACTCATACAAACATACAAATCTTAAAATTATCTCAACTCATCTGGATCGACTCGATCACTCTCACAACAATCACATGCAATGTGGGTGAGACTTATTCGATAAGAGAAGGAACAGATTCGAGGGGAAGCACTTTACCCTCTCTTTTTGACTTTTGTGATTTATTATGATTCATGAACATGCTCTTACATGTTCTTTCTGAGCACAGAAGAAGGCCTCTTGGAATCAAACGCGACAGCTCTGATCTCCTCCCCACCTGCAGCCAAAGAAAGATGGCCAAGAAAACAAGGCAGGGAATCATGCGGCTGTCATTCCCCCACCAACTTGAGCATGCATTATATTCATCATAACGCAGTAAGGTAATGAGATTAAGACGATTCTCTAACTTGGGATGATGACACGGCTCTGTCGACGTAAAGTTTGCCTTGGAGAAGCATCTTTTGCCGTGCTAATCCATCGGTTCTGACTTCGGATAGCGGAGGTGGAGGCTCTAATTCTGTCATTATGATGTTTTCCTATAATAAATATGTCGAGCTTTAGATGATGATGATGATGATGTTTTTTCTTAATTTATTAGTCACAATTTCCTTTTTTTTGGTGGGTAATTTAACCATAATGGTTTAGCTTTATGGTTAGTAAACATTTCAATATTTGTTGGAGGCATCATAAGATGACGAAAAGATAAGAATATGTTCTTTTCCCTTAAGAGTTATTATATCGTTCACAGGATTTGAATAAATAGATTATTTCGATAAATTTTATATTATTACACTCGTAAATAAAAATAAATTACGTTAAATTTAATTTTGCAATTGAGTATAACACATTTTATTTGCTAGTGTACATCTATCCAATTCTTCTCAAATTTTCATAATAGATGAGAAATGTGATATAAATAATAATTATTATTTTTTATTATTTTAAGAATTTTAAATCTAATTTTGTAAAAATATGCTGATTCAATTAATTTAAATAAGTGGTTCAATGAATCCGCCTAGTGATCTTTTTAGGATGATTATTTTTTGAAGAGGTTTCTTTTTTTTTTTTTACTCAGTATTCTTTTTTTCATTTTTTTCATATAGTATCATATTTTATATAACCTATATAACACTTTTTCCCATTAGTTATACTCATTGCTTATACCTTTGCTCCCATCATGAGGTCTCGTCGTATTTATGTAATTCCCGTCCTCACCTCCCTCACTTATTGTGTCTCGTCCCTCTTCATATCCTCTCTCGTCTATCATACTTATCATTTTTATCATTTCACTACTCTGAGAGGTAAAGATGATAGGACAAGAAATAACACATAAAAATACATGCAACGAACTTGATGGATGAAAAAGAATGAGATCACGAGATAAGAGTAGAGACAACCGACGAGAAAAAGAATGGAAGGATATTTAGATGTTTATGAGATTAAAAAATAAGTATTATATGAAAAAAACACCTTTTACAAAAAAAAAATGTTTTTTTTTTCGAAAATTCATCCTATTTTATACTATAAAAAAGGCGTGAAAATAACCAGCAAAATGGCACGAATTCGGGGTTAGACTGAGCCTGTCAACACCGCGACGCCGCTTAAAGTATTCTGTTACGGCCACGACTACTACTACGAGCCATCGTTTTCCCCAAGCTTCTCTGCCGCCTCATTATATAAACCAAAGCCTGGGAATCGATCGGAGCAGCAGCAGTGCGTTGGTTCGATTTAATCCCACAGAGAGAGAGAGAGAGAGAGAGAGAGAGGGGTGGCCTGCGATGGATGTCCCCGAAGGACTCATCTCCCGATTATGCCATCTCCTCGCCTTCTTGCCATTTTTCCTGCTGCTTCTCCTCCTCGCGGTCGTCAAAGGTTGGGATCTTTAGCCCTCTTCCTTCTTTTCCTTTTCTTTATCTTGTCGTTTACTTGTGTTCTCCATTTTCTTCAGCGGCTTTCATCGCGCCGATCGTGTTCGTCACTGTCCTGGTCGGGAACACCGCCTTGATCCTCGGGCTGTACCCGTTGCATGCCGTCTGGACCTGTTACTGTATCGCGAGGTCCGTGACTTGATCCCTTTAATCGTCTTTCTTCTTCTTCTTCTTTCCATCCCTTTCTGTTGTGATTTCAACCTCCGTTAAAGCCATTGTTCTCACACACTGGGAATCAAGTCTTTTACGGTCTCTTTGGAGATCTCGTCATTGCATCTGACAAGCTTCCACCTTTCATCTTGTCTGGCGCTGATGATATCAGTCCATGCTCCATTGCTAGATTTCATGATTTTCCACCACAACTTACCCATCGTAGCAAAGTTATAGTCTTTCAACTCCTATTGTTTCAAAATTATCATGATTGCATTTATCTATTATCCCTTACCTCTAATGTCATTGTTTTTAATCTAATCTTTTTGTTATTGTGAGAAATTCATTTTTTTTCTTCCCTGTTAAAATTTGACTCGTGGAGATATAATTAGCTTTCTCGTTGGAATTTTGGGTGGCAGGACAAAGAGATTTGGTTCATTGCTGAAGGTTCTTATACTGTTGCTGATGCCGGTTCCTATCCTACTATGGCCTCTTTCCGCATTGATTGGTACCATTTTAGCAGGATTAGGTTTTGCAATTGCGTTGCCACTAATGGCAACGTTTGAGGCTGTTAGGGAGGGCGTTCCAAATAAGTTATCTGAATGCTTCACGGTGTGAATCTTGTAGTTATTCTGCACTTTTTTCCCTTCCCTTAATGGTTTTGCATTTTGAAACTAATTGCCAGCACATGTTAGACCGAGGTTTTATTTGGATGGTTTCCTTTGTAGGCTGGTACTTGGAGCTCAATCAAAGGAGGGTTTACTATTGTGCGTGACTTTAAGGATATCTGTTTCCATTCCTACTTTTCGGTTATGGATGGATTGCTTGAGGCTGGTGGTGAGACAATAATGGTCTTAAGGTACCTTTCTCAAAGACCGATGTTGCATATGTATATATGTGTATTACATTTTTAGCTTTTCTAAGTACTACAGTTCTCCAAGGATAAGTACTTTTGTTTGTTTATTGAGGTCTTATTAAATTAGGATAGCTGGAAAAGTCAAGCCTTGTAACAGCTATTTGTAGTTGGTTCCGAGTTGCCAAATTTTCCCATTGTAAGCTACACCTGTTTTAATATTATATAGGTCTTCCATATTCTTATTGTCTTTATCATTTGTTTGAATATTGCTGTTTTCTTTGCCTTCATGAAGTTCAGCGATAATGTTCATCCAAGGGAATTCTGCCTCATCTTAGTAATAAATTTATTTTACTCTGATTCTGTAGGATGAATATTGCTGTTTTCTTTACCTTCATGAAGTTCAGTGATAACGTTCAACCAGGGGATTTCTTCCTCATCTTAGTAATAAATTTATTTTACTTTTATTATGTAGGATATCACAAGTACCCGGATACATATTGGCAGGAATCTTAGGTATGCTTATCGACGTGCCCATGATTAGCCTTATAGTACTGTATAAAGTACCCATCATGCTGTTCAAAGGATGGAGGCAGTTGATTCAAGATCTTATCGGACGGTCAGGTCCATTCTTGGAAAGTGTTTGTGTTCCTTTCGCTGGACTTTTGATTCTACTGTGGCCTGTGGCTGTTGGGTTGACATCTATAGCAGGAATTCTTTCAAGCTTGAGCCTTGGATGCTATGCTGCTGCTGTTGCATATCAGGCAAGTCTAATCTGAGTACTGCATTTGTAGTCTTTGTACAAGTCAATATCACCATTGAGCTTACATCTCCTCATGAATCTTTAAGTTACTTTAGATATCACTGATTTTTTTTTCTGACTCCTATTAACATTATTTTTTTTTCTTTTAGGAAAATTCTACAACGAGTGGAATTCTCTATGTTATAGCTGTAATATCTATGTTTGATGAGTTCACTAACGACTTCCTCTACCTTCGTGAAGGCTCATGCTTCCCAAGGTATCTTTTTTATCACATTTGTGTATATATTGCTTCTGCAAAACCTACATCCTCTGCTAATATAACTACACATCATGTGGTTTTGATACATCTAGCAGTAGGGCTGTCAACTGTCAGGTTCAATCTGGTGGGGTTTAAATTGGATATGAATAGCATGTTTGACCCAATGACTTAAATAATAATCTGATCTGATCTGATATCTTAGAAAAAAATCACATTGAATGTCGATCATGCATGATCATATTCATTAACCATTAGATCCGGATGGCATATGAATCTTCATGCATGTTGAAGTACCAAATTTATCCTTAACTCATTCATCCTGTTCATCAATCTTCTTCTTCCTTGTCTCTACTCTGTACTCCTTGGCTGTTTTCACAATCAGACCGATGGAACCAGTCATGATTACTTGGATCGATGGGGCTTGGTGTTTGCAAAGATACTGGAGTTGGAAACTGTGTCTGGTTTATGCTAGTGATGGGAATTTTACTGGGAGGCATTAGGCATCATGAACATGGGGAAGAAACGTAATGGCATAAGCACGAAGAACAACATTGAATTATATAAGGTCAAAGACTATGTTGTAGCTATGGAGTTAGGAAGAAAGAACAAGGCGTTTGAATGATTGTTGGGCTTGTGCATAAAGGGGACTGGGAGGTCAAGGGGGAAATGAGTTGATGAAATCATCCATAGGACTTCCGAGTACTGATTGCAATATTGGGTCAAGCTAAATTGGATTTTTCAGCGCTATGATGAAGTTTTTGTTGATTTCGCTGCTGCTTAACTATTCTGTGGATGATTACAGCATCTTTAGTGTATTTTTTAAAACATATTCTTTTGTGGGCAGCCAGACCTAAATATCGTAAGGCAGCTATTTCCCGCTCTGCATCACTTCCAATAAAGCGTGCACCAACACGAGATGAGTCTTTTCCTTTAAAACGTCCGTTGATTAAGACAGCTTCAATGAAGATGCAGGAACTGAAAGCCATAGTGGTAAGATGCTATACATTACCTTTGATTTCACTGATTCCTTCTTTTTCTGATGACATATTATTATTCTCTTAGATATGGGATAACTTTTTCATGGCATGTGAGAGTGTTGGGAAAGAGCTTATTCGAGCTGGTGCTATACGTATTTCAGATCTGGAAGAATGGCAAAATTCAAAGAACAAAACCATTAACATTGGGATACCTTCATACGTCTTTCTGCAGTGTTTTGTTCGTTCCATAAAGAGTGGTTCTGTTGGTTTTGTCATGCGTATGAATGCTTCCCTACATCTCCCAAAACGTGGTTTTCCTTTTCAGGATATTTTTCATTACACTAAAATGGTTCTTTCAATTACTTTTATCTACAGGAGACAATGTTGAACTCACATATATTAATAGGCCTGAGGGAAGAGTTTTTGACTGGCTTTTCGAGCCCATGACTCTTCTAAAAGAGCAAATCAAAGCTGCAAATCTAGAATCAACTGAAGAGGAATATCTTTACAAGCTGGCTCTTTATTGTGGTGATGCTCGAATGATGACTTCTTGCCAAAATGGTGGAGTGGCACCAGCCGATGTGGTCAAAAGAGCTCAGTTGGAGGGTTTAAGTAGAAGGTACAACAGTGCTCTATTGCCTCTATGTGATCTTAATCACTCTTTATGTCTGCTTAGCCAAACACCCTGCCAATCACCCACCTGTTTGATGTGGTCATATTCTCTTTGCAATTCTGACCCTTTTGATTTGGTGAAATTCTGTTTTGACACCATTCCACCAACTGTCTTAAAAAATGCATGATATTATCGCCCAATTCTTTGTTAAGTTTGTGGCTGTTTGATCAAATGATTGACTAAGTTGTGCGAGCAGCATTTCTTGAACTTAAGTGTTCAGCATATTTCTGAAATTCAGTTGACAAAGGGATTTATTTTAAGTAGGCATTTAGCTGAAAAAAAATGCAGGTATTTAGCTTGCTTTAGATTTCTCCTTGATATAGCTGAGTTGGTGGATCGCCACAACATAATTTATCGAATCTTGGTCCCTTTTCTGACTTAATTTCTCTCACAAGATCTGCTGCAACTTCAGTGTGCATATAAGGAGTCCTCATTTAGTATCCTCAGATGCGTGGATTTTGGACTCCCATGTTTATTAGGGTGATATGTTTGGGATTCTTCCTTGCAAGATATCATCCTATGTGCATCTATTGCGTCTATGTTGGAAACATACTTTTTAAACTAAACATTCCTATAAATGGGAAAAAAATCCAATAGTTGATGAATACTTAAACATATCTTGTATTAAGTTACACTAGACTATGATGACATAATGCTGACGATTAAATGGTTTTTTCTGCTCCATTTTAGATAGACCGAGTTGTTCCTGTAAAAATTGGACTTCTAATCATTTTTCTGACTAATCTTGAAAACAAGAAATCTCCAAGTTCCAGAACAAGGATGTTTAATATGTTTTATTTATTTGTAGAGCAAAATGGAGGAGTATAATTAAGAATTCCATGCAGCATGAGACTTTTTGTGAAGGTCACATTCCTTAAATAGAGTTCTTCTATATCAAGTTTTAAATGGGTGGCCTCTCGATATGGAACACTTTAATCAGCATCATCAGACTCTTCTGATGTATTTTCTTTGTAGGTTGTCACAGTTCCTAAATATTAACTGTATATTATCCTGTCTAGATTCAAAGTGCTTTTCATTGTATATTTCACAGGCATTGACCTGTATATTTCATGTTTACTATTATTTTAGATATGAAAATCTCATTATTCAATAAAAAAAGCTTCGCTATTGAAACAATTAATTTAACCATCTTTTATTGGTAGTAAAACTTTGAAGTCTAGGTTTTAACTGATTGTTAAATTGATATATATGTTCATTTTGACAAGTAGCTCATTCATGTGAATAATGTAAGCCACTTTATATTGTAAGTGGGTTCCAGATGAAAGTACAAAGTCAACATAAGGTTTCATGGACAAGCAAAATGGGTTTTTATGATTGACTGTCAGTATAGGATGTACCATTTATGGCGAGAGCTGTCCTGTAATGATAACTGCTTCCTAGCTGTTAGAATAGCCCACCAAACTAATGGCCCAAGTAATTCTGGCAGGTTCTTGATTTGGTGAACTAGTAGCTTAGCAAATAAAAATAATTTATTAAAGTCAAAAAAATATCATAACTAGTTATTCCTCACACATCTTTCTTACTGTTATGAGTACTGTGGTCAAGAATCCGCATAATGGTCGCACAAGCTGTGCAATAACAACAAAATCGTAAAGTCTCACATAAACTGTCATAGAAGAAAATTATCAGCATATAAATGTACTAGCAAGAGAAGTGAATTTTCAGTTTTCTGGATTGGTCTAATTCTGGATATTGTGCGTGCGTGCACGCATGCAGGTGTCCATGCAAATGTTTGTGTAGGTTCATGTGCATATTCGGTTTGTAAATGGTGGTGATTGTGTTCATCCCCTATAATTCCTCAAAAGGCACATATGAAAATAGGAATGACCTGAATATATTTTTCTAAAAGCTGTCGTCCACAGGTTGCAGGGTTTCAGTTTGACCATTTCGAGGATGCCAACCTTCAGGCGGCGGTTCGAGGCAGTTGTCAAGGCATTACTGCAAGAAGCCTGGCAGGGGTTACAGAAAAATGGTGATGTCATTGAGCAAGCACTGTAGACACCTTTCATCCAGTAAGAATGTGAGGTAATATGCTTGTCTTTATCTTAAGATGTTACCTAGTACATTAACTTGTGGAAGCAACTAAAAAGTGAGTGCTCATTGATTATATAGATATTTAAGAGTTAATGACACGAGAGATTTGTGATATTGTACTGAATTGATGTCTTTATGATTAAGCTTCAGAAATTTGATAATTGGTCCATTCCTTCTTCAAAGTTGAGATTCCTGTTGCCCTATGTGCCAGGATCTGTTGCCTCTGATTGTTAACATTATGTGACATTTACGTTTCTGTCACATGAAATCTCCTTTATTTGTTGTCTAATTTTGGTGTGTTGGATGCATCTTATGATGGTAGACTGCTCACCTGTGTAAAAACCTGACTATGTTACAGGGAAAGATGGCTGGTAGGAGTTTGGCAGGTTGGTTGGATGCTGAACTCGACTTAGTATTGCTTCATGTTGCATTCATTCCATGTCATTCCGGAGTGCTCCAAGTTGTATTTTTTTCACACTCAGATGGTGTTACTGAAGTTGATCTTCACGCTGAAGGTATACTGAAAGAAGGGAAAAACTCGAAAGTGTAAACGTAATACAGTGATCAGCAGAAGACATATAATTTCCTGTGGTTTGCTAGGCGATTTTTGTTATCGACTTTGAGAGGTTTCCATTCCATCAGCATTAAAAAGTTGTGTTGAATTTTCTTATTCAGCTGCATTCTCTGTTTTTTTTAATTTTTATTATTGACTTGTGTTGCCTCCAGAAAGATGTGCCATTTCTCTTTAAAATTGTATTTGTTTATCTAAATATTAGATTGTGTCTTAGAGGCTTACAACGGGACTCAAAAATCTCTTATTTCTTAAGAGAAGATTTGAATAAGCATAGTTGAAGCGGTATCTTCTTCCTGTGATGATGACGTTATGGAAGATGGAATATTATTAGACGTAGTATTTTGTGGAAGATGGAATATTATTTCAAGCTAATTATATATTAATTTATATAATTAATTATCTTTAGTATCTTGATTTTTATATTTTTAAAAATATATTAAAATTTTTATGTTTATGAAAGTAAAATATTTAATCTTATTTTTTCTCGTATTGTCGGTTCTAATGATAAAAATATCATGGAGTTTACCACTGAACTTATGTTGATTCTGCTCCGCTTCAGTTTATTATTGAGCATATAGAATATTTTATAAATATAAAAATTTGAATATAATTTTTAAAAATATAATAATTAAAATATTAAAGATAATTAATTAATTAATTAGTTTTATTATTTCTTTAGCACTTCCTGCCTACTGTTGTCGTATGGAATCAACAGAGACAGCATGGTGGATCAAGCTGTGGATGTCATCCCCGAGGGCAGCAGCAGTGGCCGCATGATTCCTCTGGTTTTGCATCGAGACAAGGGAATATTAGGCAGCCTGTCCTACAGATTTCTTCGAGGGGCCGTCTTCAGTGTCCTGTATGCTGGGAGAAGCCGTCAGGTCCTCGTCTCAGTATTCTAATCATCATCATCGAGTCCTTTCCTTCCGACCCATAGTTACCTATCTGGAATCAAGAAAATAGAGTTCGTCATCAATCTTCAAGCCGTGTTAGCGTAAAAGTTTACCATGCGCATCTCTCTTTTGATCGTGGTTAGGAAAAAGAAAACAAGTCCTCCAGCTCAGGTGTGCAGGGATCCATCTGCTTCCATGTTTCACCTGCAGACAAATATGCGATGCTTATCAGTTTGGTTTTGAGTTTGCTTCCGGTGGCTTCTGCATGTAGTGAATGGTTCTTCTTTGATCAATTACTTGTGCATAACCAAATACACCCAAATACCTTGAAATATGAAACACTCCTTTTTTTCGATTCATGCTTCTTGTTGAGTCTTATTTTTTAGGCTCAATGTAGGACATTGATTTAGAATTGTGACGACACAAATCACCGGTTTTACCCAACATTATTTGGATATATTTTTTATCTTAATCATGCTTCTCATCATGTTAAGAATCGTTTGGCTCTTTCTCTCTATCATACTATTTTATCTTAATCGTTTTGGAGAATGTGATGATGTGAACTAATGTCGAATGTCATTTTTCTCATAAAAATCTTCAAATACTTTGAAGGTGAATTTACCAGCTTAATCGGATCATATGGTTTTGATGTAGAAGTTGTTTGCATTCTCCACAAAAGTTTTGAACTTCTTAAACAAGCTAAAGACTTTCCTTTTTTTTTAAGAAAAAAACCTAAGCTTTTCTTGGATCATCAATAAAAGTTAAAATATAGTGATACTTACCAAAAGATGTTAAAGCAATAAGACCATAAACATCGGTATGAATAAGTTGAAGTGGCTTCTTTGCCCTAAAATTTTTCTTATATGAAAAACTTTTTCTTGGTTATTGCCAAAACACACCCTTCACATATTTGATTTAGGTATTATGTATAGGAAAGACTATTTGTCATCTTCTTTATTGATGGCATGTTGAGATCTCATAAGTTCAAGTGTGCCTCAAGTCTTTCACATAAGTTTTTAAATATTATATCATATCATGATTAATTATTAAGATAAATAATCATTCTTTGGCATCTCCACTCAAGAAATTAAGTGATTTATGTTGTTTCTAATAAAGAGTTATTTATTTTTATATGAATATCATAATTATTTTCTAATAGTTGTTCAAGAATATTGTTCTCCATATCTAACACAATAAATATTTGAAAGAAATTGATGGCTTCCATCTTTAATGCGAATCAATATGTTATCTTTGCCTCTCACCGATACTTTTGATGAGTCTCCAAAGTCAACTTATTCGTTTCATCTAACTTCATAAATAGATTTTGTAATCACACGTATGAACACTAGTTCCATTGTCCAAGTATCATTTGTGTTGAATGACGATATCTTCAAATTTTTCTTCCTTCTTTTTAGTATTTTTTCAACTTATTATTTTTATTGTAATAACATTTGGAAGCATAATGATCTTTTTTTTTTGTGCAATAATAGCATTGAACTTATTATTATATCTTTGGTCTCTTTGTATCACCTTTTCTTGTTTTGGACTTTGATCTTTTTTTATTATTTCTACCTCTTCTTCCTTGGCCATGTCTTTTACCATAACCTTGATCACTTGAGTCTTCGCTTCTTTCTTTCAAAGTAAGATTTGTTTGGAGAATTTATTACACTGCATCTAGTTTCTTTTTATCGATGAAATGTTCATGTGCTTGTAAAAAAACTCATTAGCTCATCATTAATCATTTAGTCTAAATCATTTGATTTTTGGATAGAGACCATGATAAAGTTAAACTTTTCATGATTGAAAGATTTTGCTTTTTACCACATATACATTCTCGGTATTCTTATAGTTGCTTCTTAGTTGATTGACAATAGCAAACACTCTTATAAAATAATCTAAAATAGTCTCAAACTTATTGATTTGTAATGTTTTAAATTCAGTTCTAAGTGATTAAAGTCAAATTTTCTTATCATCTTAACTCCTTTGAAAGAGTTTAGAAGAATCTTTCAAGCATTTGGAGGCATTGATGGTCGCAACCTTCTCAAAGTTATCTTTTCTATCATATGATAGATAAGGAATAGTGTCTTCTCGTCTTTCTTCCCTATATCCTTTAAGCTCTTTTGACTCCTTTATATCATCTTAAAGTTCCTCTTAGCCTTTCTCAATCACCTCTCATATGTCTCATAATCCAAACAATAACTTTATCAAGATGTTTTAATTTTTGTAGTTGTCTTTTGTAAGGTGATGCCCTTCAAGTTATATGTTATTAGTCATTTTGCCTTACTCTAATATCACTTTGATGGGAAAAGAAAAAGATAAGATAGAGAGAGTTAGAAGAAAGAATTCAGAATGAAATAAGAAAGAAACT